TCACTTGGGTTGAGGTCACTGAGGTATTTCAACAATCCTTTGGTGGTAGGGGTGGATGAGGTTTCCCCTGAATTCTTTAAAGTTATGGATGTTGTAGAGCTGTCTTGGTTGACACACCTCAGCAACATAACAATGACATGGTGCCTTTGGACTGGCAGACTGGGGTGGTGTTTCCGATCTATATTGCTGGCCATAGTAAGACTCAGTTCTGGTGGGTGTTGGACTTTGCCAGGGCTGCCCAAAAATTGTGTTCATTTCTAGGCGCAGCCAGGTGGCAGAAGGCTTCCACTTTAGTGGCCTAAGGATTTTGTCTCAGATTTTTGCAGATAACATAATTCTGTTGGCTTCATCAGATGGTGGCTTTCAGCTTACACTGGAGTGTTTTGCAGCCAAGTGTGAAGCAGCAGGAATGAGAATCTGTCCGAGGCCATCATCCTCAGCTGGAAAATGTGGTGTACCCCACTCCGGGTCAGGGATGAGTTGCTGTTGCTTACCAAAGTGGAGGACTCCATGTATCTCGGAGTCTTGTTCAAAAATGACGGGCAAGTGGATTGGGGGATTGACAGTTGGATTAGTGCAGCATCTGGAATGATGCTGACACTGTACCAGGCTGTCATGGTGAAGAGAGAGCTGATCATATAAGGAAAGCTGGTGATTTACTGGTCGATCTATGTCCCTACCCTTACCTACGGTCACATGGTTTGGGTAATGACCAAAAGAATACTGTTGTGGATAAATCAAGAGAAATTTGTTTTCTCTGAAGGTTGTCTCTCCACTGGCCTAGGAAGGCTTCAGTGTTTCGCTGAATCAACTGGAAGAGGTGGCTGGGGAGAGGCAGGTCTGGGCTTCTCTGCTTAGCCTGCTGCCTGGATGAGCAGTATCAAATGGATGGATGGATGGATCCTTGTCACACTAACAAAATTATCTATTTTAGTGACAGACCTCTGTGAAGGGTTCATCTGTGCAAATCTTGCACAAAAGACTGAACAGGGAAGGAAGCAACCCCTAGTCCATATACTGAGAAAAACAGCAAGCTTTTGGAATTTGAAAAAAACAAAACAACTACACAAAGTAAATCATTAGACTGTATCGTAAAATGACTCCTGCCTTTTACTGTTTTTTAGATCATCCCAGACAAAAAGTTCTAACTTGTGACTCATGCTTTAAATGAAAGTTACCAGGGTGGTTGCTCTTCTGTAAAGCTTCGCCATCAGTGGCAAGGCCAATAAGCCATCAATACAGTACAGTACTACTGAAATGCTCTTCATATAAGGCTTAGCAGAATGTCATAAGTAGCAGCCCTACATGATGTCCATCTTTTACGTATCACCTTCATGGGGAAATAATTGACTGATGATGACTATCAGGTGTCTGGTTAAGACTAAGACTCAGTAATTATATTTCTAGGATTTTGATGGTGCTGTAAAATATGAACATTTGTTGTTTTCTTTCAATCATCTAGCTGCAATTTCTATGGTGGGACAATCTATTTGTGCTCAGTGGCATAATGAAAAGTTAGGTATGGCTCAAGCTAGCTCCCATTTGCCATTTGAGCTTAACTGTCAAAGGAAAGTCAGTGAAAGTCCATTTGTGATGTTATTGTTGTTCACACTCTAGAAAAAATCACTTGGGGAGAAATTTATCTCCACCAGGGGTAAAAATAATTCAGCAGAGGCAAGAACATGTAGACTGCCCCCCAGCAAATCACACTGAGTGTATTCCCAGTCCGAAACCATTTAATTTTTTTTTTTCAGGGAATACAGTTGAAGAACAACCTGATGTGCTGCTCATCAGTAGGTGAATCCACTACGCTGTAAATCCCCTGTGTTATTCCAGCATATCTATAATACCCCTTAAACCCAATAAATGTTATAATTTTCCTTACTGCTTTTTTAGAATTCTCTTTTTTTCCTCTAAGAAAAGAAAATTTAGGGAACCCATTAGATGGGACCTGTATTTCCATTCCCTTACAAACCCAGAGACCTCTAATATGGTGCTCTACAGCAGGACAGTTTGGTTGTGATCTGCCAAAGATAAACAAAAGAAACTACAGTATGCTACTTTCTGAAAAAGTATTGCATTGTGCGTGGCTTGTCATCAGTTCTCTGGAGACACTATGTGGTAGCAGAGGTGATAAAAACATCACTACATGTGAACACACCTTACTTGAGGACTGGCTGCGATTTATGCTTGCCTGTTTAGCTCCCATGGCATCAGTTAACATCTTGTAAAGCTGAGTGACATGATGATGGGGGTAAAGCGGAAGGGCTAACAACACTACCTCAAGCAGTAAAAGGCCACCAGTTTAAAGCTCTAGTTAAATCCAGCTGGGATTTTCTCTACTTCTTGTTTTAGCTTCAGCAACTAGCGCTTTCAGCTAACTAAATACAGATAGAATAGCAGAAGAAAAGAGAAATAAGGATGCAGAAAACTATGCTACCACTCTGTTGGCTATTGCCATAACAACAAACCAGCTCCCCCATCTCTTGCAGAAGTGACATTTCACTTTGCCCTGGTTGCTGCTCCCTGCAGGGACGCTCTGATCCAGCCTGTGTACGTGTATGTGTGTATGTGTCCTCATTAAAGGAAGAGTGACTGAGGAGGAGTGGCCCTGATCACAAACACACACACACACACACCTTGTCAAACCAGACCTCTGCTGAGTCTGTGTGAGTGTGTTTGAGATTAGAAAAGACACAAAGTCAAGCTACTTGATGCAAACACACAAACAGACTGAGTAAGGATTCATCTAAAAATTACTGATGATGTGTTGTCTGTAATATTGTTACACTATCACCGAAATAAGTGTGTGTATGTATATGCGTATCTGTTATTTGCCTATTTCTCCTCTCGACATCTTCTTATCATCTGTACCCCCCACCCACCCACTATGGTTTAGGCAGCCATATTTAGATCACCTGGCAACCACATGACTACTCATGCCACCTGCTGGCATATATGTAAAGACAATGCAGCTGGGTTGGAGACATGACAATATGAGCAGGGCTGTTCACTGGCATTTCAATGATATACTGCTGCAGGAGCAGAGATTCTGACATGTTACAGTCAGTAAAGATGAAATGTTACGTAAAACAATACTGTGATTGGTGTTTCCTGTTTCAACATCTATTCCCATATCAGCACCGATACAGTGGTTTTTGTTTTGTTGTTTTATTTAGAAGATTGCAGTGAGTCCAGCACACCTCAAGTGCCAGTATAAATGGTTAATGGGAGTGTGTTGATGTCACAGATTGAGGGAGTACTAACCACCACATTAGTTGTAACTGTGGCTTTAGACACATCCTGTCTCATTGTGGTAAACTTCTGTTGTTTAATTTCCCACCTTTGTCTGCTCAACAATCTATGATTTCACTTTGTTAACTCCTTCTGTACTTATACCCCTCATTACTTAGTCTGATAGTCTCTTTACCAGCTCCTGCTCTACCTTGTTCAAAGTTTGTCTCCTTGTGCCTCGCCTTGTATTTTTGTCATCCGTGGTTAAGAGCCAGTATTCAGGCTTCTTTACTCTTGGATATTTATGATGTCATAGAATAGCACAAATATGGTCATCTCAGGCACTGAGCTCTGGCTATGAGCAAACAAGGTCCACCCATTCACATGTCTGAATATTTTTTGTGGGGAGGGGGATCAAATCAGAAGAAAGTTTCTTTAAGGGAATTGAGAAAAAAGCTAAAACATCTTGTTGTGGAGAGAAGATGAACTGAAGGGCTGCTCGAAGATCCATTATAAAATCAAATAGTATTCTTTTGAACCATAAACTATAAACCATACAGAATGACTCCATTCATAGAGTCCAAGAATAACAATATGGAGCTAGAGGTAAGTGTGATGGACCCTCTTTGATATATTTTGTTTGCCTCCATTCGTGTCCCCTATTAAACATGCATACCATTGCAGGACACTAAAATACGCAGTCATATGAACAGCTTACAATTAAGTCCAAGTCGGGTAGTAAGCTGGCATGTCATTGGTTCTAGTTCTCCTTGAGTTTGACTATCCATAAAGAAAATGCATTTTCTATGTGGACTCCAATGGAGTTAAATGAGCTGCTCACAGCTTCCTTTTGCAGAAACCTGTCTAGGTCCAGACCTTTGACATATTCCATCTGACTGGGCGGACTGATTCATCTCGCACTGTGACATGAAACTCCAGTTTCTCAGCTGAGGAACAACCTGTCCATTGACCGCTGCAGAAGGATCAATGACTAGTCAGTCAGCGCCATGGGTATGACTAAAGCAATTATCTAATGATGCACGACTGTTTATTCTGGCACTCCTGAGGAATGGCTACAATACATAAATGGAAAAACGTGGTGAACCTTAAGAGATTTAAGAGCATATATTGGTCTCTAGTGATTGATTTGGGAAAATCGAATTCCTGCCTGAATGAAATCAGTTAGAGCAGAGGAGTGTCAGACTCAAGATGGAAGCTGAATGTAACAACCTGGAAATTCAGTTATAACGCTTGGCAGAGACAATATTTCAACATTTTCTGTCCTAACTGTAAATCTAGCCTCAGCCATCAGGTTAGAAAATGAAGAGAAATTGGCTGACACTAGTGTCGTTATGTGGACCCACTGCTGTTTTTTTAAAGCTGAAATGTTTATGTTTGTGATAAATGCCCAAGCAGAAATTAAACTGAAGGAAAATTACAGCAGGACAAATGTCCACTTTAGGCTAATTACAGATGTATGAATCCCCACACAAATATCCCAAATTATTCACTCCAGAGGAACAAATTTTAACAAAGCCTCACCATGCGATTACCCCACCAAACTTGGAACTCGAGTGAAATGGGTAGCCATGGAAACACAGCCTACACATTTCAGTGTCCAAAAGCATGTACACATTAGGAACCACTAACCACTATAAACACAAACAGGCACAAACACAGACAAGAAAATAAAACCTCATCTTAACCCCACTTAGAAGAACATCGCTAAAATAAATCCAAAACTAAAACGAGAGCTGTGGACTCACCCGGTGAGGACAACTACAAAGTCCATGACGTTCCAGCCGTTCCTCAGGTAGGAGCCCTTATGTAACGCAAAACCGAGAGCCAGGATCTTTATTCCAGACTCGAAACAGAAGATGGCTATGAAGTAGGGCTCTGTCTCCTCCTGCAGGGGAGAGGAAAAGGATGGAAAGGGAAAAATGGGAGAAGGAATATAAAAAGTGAAGTTATGGGTAGTTATGTGAGTAGAAACACAAAGAGAAGGGAAGAGCAGATAGAAAAGTGAAATGTAAGAGAGAAAAAGAAAAAGGGTCAAGGAGATTTTTTCTTTAGGGTTTTTGTTTTTAATGGCAGCCTAAAACTTCTTTACACAAATCGGGCATAACATTATCCCTACTGTTAGGTAAAGTGAATAACAGAGATTATCTCGTCATCATGCCATCTGTTAGTGGTGGGATATATCAGGGAGTAAGTGAACATGTGGTCCTCAAAATTGAGGAGAGCTTAGAAACAGGAAAATGGGCAAGCATAAGAATTTGAGCCAGTTTGAAAAGGGCCAAACTAGACTGGGTTAGAGCGTCTCCAAAACTGTAGCTCTTGCGGGGTGCTCCTGGTCTGCAGTGGTCAGTAAGTCCAAGGAAGGAACAGTGGTGAACCAGCAACAGGCTCATGGGTGGCCAAGACTCATCGATGCATGTGGGAAGTGAAGGCCAGTGTTGTCAGATACAACAGATTAGCTACTGTAGCTTAAATTGCCCCAAAAAGTGAATGCTGGTCCTGACAGAACGGTGTCAGAATACACAGAGCATCACAGTTTGTTGTGTATGGGGCTGCATATGCAGACACCTATCCACTGACGAAAGCACCACCAAAGATTAGAACTGGGCCACAGAGCAATGGAAGAAGGTGGCCTGGTCTGATTAATCATTTTGTCTTTCAAATCACATGGATGGCCGGGTGTGTGTTGCTTACCTGGTAAGATGTCAGCAGAGGCTGCTGTGCATGCTGGGCCCTGTCATCCATATAGACGTTACTTTGACACATACCACCTACCTAAGCATTGTTGCAAACCATGTACACCTTTTCATGGAAAAGATATTCCCTGATAGCTGTGGCCTCGTTCAACAGGACAATGCACCTTGCCAAAAATGCTTCAGGAATGGTTTGAGGAGCGTAACAACGAGTTTGAGGTATTGACTTGGCCTCCAAATTCGCTAGATCTAAATTCGTGGGATGTGCTGGACAAAGAAGTCTGATCCATGGAGGCCCCTTCTCGCATCTTAAAGGACTTAAAATATCTGTTGCTGAGATCTTGGTGCAGATACCACAGCACACCTTCAAGGGTCATGTGGAGTCCAGGTCAGGGCTGCTTTGGCAGCAAAAGGGACCAAAACAATATTAGGCAGGAAGTCATAATGTTATATTTAATCGGTGTAAACCTATGAAGTGCTGAGAACAATATCAGTCAACATGGTTAGAAATGTACCAATTTGCTCCAAAGTTCGATTCACAGGCCTGATCACATCAGAAATAATGATGTGATAAAAATGATGAGAACGTATTGTTTTTCTTTTCTTATTTTAGCCTGTGTGAGTGAGCTCTGCATATTTGGTATCAGTGTGTCCAGTGTACCTCAACGGTCTCCATGTGTATGTACTTCCATCTGTGCGCACACTGAATATGTATGAATATGTTGCACATGTACATGAACCACATTTAAATGTGTGTGTATGTGTGTGTGTGTGTGTAAAATGTGTGTTACCAGTCGTTCGGACAGAGGCGTCTTGTCTCCATCGGGAAGGTGCTGTTCCAGAGCCAGGACGATGCAGTTTGCAATGATGGTGGTGAGAATCATCCATTCAAATGGAGTACAGCTGGGGTTAAAGCCAATAGCACCAGGAAGAAGCACCTCATATACAGTACACAACACTGCAGCCATTCACACCACAAAGATCCAGCCACCGACACATGCAAACATTCTTACAATGGATTTGAAAAGAAGTCCAGCCTACCAGGTGACATTTTTCTTTCTGTTGCTCTGAATGTCTGTTTACATATTCACTATTCTTTGTAATGTCACACAGCCAAGGAAATGTAAATCTGCAAATCTCAGTGCTTTATTGGAACAAGTAAAACAAGTAGAATTCTTTGGTCCTGCAATGTTCTTAAATACTACAACAGAAGATGTAGTATTTAAGAACATTTAGAAATAAATATAAAGATTGGAGCAATAGTTCAAATAATAAATAAAGACTAATAACAAGAACAGCAATGACAATAAAAGGGGAGATGGTGCTCAAAACAGTTTAAAACATTATGATAAATAAAGTACAAATACATAGGAATTTTGCTACATATCGTATAGAAGGCAGGGCTTTTCTTCACTGTAGCTTTTCCCCCTTTGTTTGTGTCCATTTTTATGTCTGTTACCATTTCTGTAAAGCACCGTGTGACTCATCTGCTTGTTTACCGTCTTTGTAAATACACTTAACTGGACATGAACTTCAGTTAATGTTGATTTTACCATGTCTTTATAGGTGCCACTGCAGCACATTACGCTGTTATTATATTATTTATTGTACTTAAACTTTATTTAAACAAGACAACCCTAGTGCCACCACCATGAACTTTACCTTCAACAACCTTTAATTTTACCGAACAGCAATGAACGCGAGACAACAACAACAAAAAAGCCAAATAATATTGCGTATGCCTCAAGAATACTGCAGTACTTCCGTGTACGATTCTCGATATTCCATTTTCAAACTCAGACCCATCAGTTTGACGAAAGAGAAAACCAATAAAGCCCGAGGGAAGATTGATTTGCTTTGTCAGCACACCACGTTGCACAGTTTTGTTTCTGCAGAAGAAAACGCCAGAGAAACAGTGACTGACATTATGAAATTCAAACCGAAAACGGTCACTTTATTACAGCAGTACATGAGAGTTAAATTCCAACTCCCACCACAACACACAGACACACAGCCTGACTCACAAAGGTTGCCTGGTGGGGCAGCCAGCTTTTCACAGTGCTCCATCCAGTCAAGTGTGTTTGAATGTGTTGCGCTTTGTGTGTGTGTCCATGCCTGAGTAATGGCTGCTGGAGGGGCTAAGATGACCGGATACATCTAGACAGATCAAGCCCTGTGCCTAATTGTCCAGTCATTATCCTGTTAGCTTGCATGTGTGTGTCTGTCTCTCTGTGCGCGCGCTAGTATGCGCCCATTGTCGTGTTTACCAGATGCAACATTGACACTGACACTATGGCCTGCAGGACAGCCTCTGTGCATCAGTGTGCGAGTGTGTGTGTGTGTGAAGGATAAGAGGCGAACGGCTGACGTGAGAGGATGAGACAGGTCGGTCTACGGAGTACACACTAACAAGACGGCACTGAACTCCATGGCACATGCTGGCTGGCTGACACAACACACACACCTATACTTGTGAAAGGTGCAGTGGTAAGAGGCAGACTACAATTTCCAAAGTTGAATCTTATTACTGGTGAAAAAGTGCTTTGTCCAGATGTTCCGTTATTTAGCCACTGGGTAGCTGTGGTAGTAGTGCTAGGTAGTATACCTGATGAACTGGTATCCTGGCTGTAATTTAAATAAAGCTATATTGGTCAAAGACAAAACACCCACTATGGCTCTTTAAGGGGTTCACACCTATTATATTATTAGCCTCCGGGAGCACTATTGAGCAGTAGAGGAGCTGCATTCTTCTTGGTCATAGTTCTAATTATATGATGCAAAAATCAAAATAATATCACCAGCAATAGTCCACAAATCTCTCTCTTCTACATGAAAACCATCCTATGAGTAGTCAATTTAATAATAGTCCACTGGCCAAATTACAGCGGAGAATGGCAGCGCTACTGGAAAGACAGATGGAGAATGTAGAGATGACTTCAGATTCTTCCACCAAAGATTTTTTTTGTGTGTGTGGCAGTATAAACCATCTCAGTACCAATCATTCTTTCAACTGTCACAAACCTAGACACTTGTTAAATAGGTTTAGCCACTTTTCATTTAACTTTACCTTATCCAAAATGTATGGATGGTATCCTGCTGCTTTGCAACATTTCGCTCCCCTGTCACAGGAACACTGCGCTTACACTCTGCGTTTCTGTGCTGTGCTTGGTGCGCCATGTGAGAGACCACTTTTGCCACTATATCACAAAGGAGAGGCCAGTATCTAATGCAGAAACAGTTCTGCTCACAGGTGTTGAAGCAAAAAAGCAAAAAAGAGTCGCAGAGTTGGAGCGTGATGTTAAAACCAGACGATGTCCAGATGTACCCACAGATTCTGTCTGCCATGATGTCCTAACCACTCAAATGACTACTCTGGTTATTAAAGGTGCTGAAGACAGAACTGGTTCCATATCTGTAGAAAGAGCTTTTTGTTGATCTAAGTGCAGGATTTACAGCACTTCACAGTGTGTAAGTGTTTTTACATGGTTACTTCATATTTAAGTTATTCCTTCACTTTTAGGATAACCTTAAAATGTATTTCATTTGAATAATCTAATTCAGGCCGCAGTGCAGAGAGTGCATGTGTATGTGCTTGATGACTACATGCTAGCCTGCCACACCATCTATTATTCAGCAGACAGACACTCTGCTGGCCTAACAACCTGCTGAAAGCAGGAGGTAACACTCTGCCTGTGTGTGTGTGTCTTTCTCTTTCATTTCCTCCCATTCCTTCAGATCTTTATTTCTTTCTGTGTGTTTTTCATTTTATCCTCAATGTTTCTCTTTCCATTTCCTTCTTTCCTTAGTCTCCTCCAAATGTGACCATTCCTTGTTTTTGTCTTACTTTACCTCTTTCGTCTGACACATCACTCTATTCATCTTTTGAGAAAAAAAAAAAGAGGTGAATCGGAAGCAATTAAGGAGCTGAAATTTCTGGCAAGGGTATTATTGGTGAGCACTGCAAAAATGAGTGTGTGTGCTCCTCTCTTGTTAATTAAAATGGCTTTCTGATGGCCACAAACAAGCTCTACCCTGCCAAATACACTGACCGCGCGTGCACATCCACACACTCACACGCACACACACACAGTTATTGCAAAAAAGGTTTCTTTAGCATTTCTAAACCTACACAATCTGAATATATCATGTTGTCCTGCTGCTGTACTATAGTATGCATTATTCCCTAATACTGCTACTACAGTAGGAGCTTTTACTATACTCACAATGCAATTGCAGTGTGGGTATAACAAAAGCTGCTACTACTGTAGCACTCTTAGGCAGTGAAGCTTGGACTTTTGTACAGTAAAAGCTCTCAGCAAACTGTTAGACAACAGACACAAAGAGGACTGGCAGGTACTGCAGTCAATTTGCAGAAAGAAGGCAACAATTTGGATAGTTCATTAATAATTTAAGTCATTTTAAAAAAAGAGCCATAGATTGAGCAGTTGTATTATCGTCAGTGAGTCGCTTCAATTATCAAACAAACAAATTACATAATAAATAAAAAACTATATGAAATAAGTTTGCAGAAAACAATCACATAGAAGTAATCAATGAAGTTTACAATAGCCATCTCTTTGCTACATTAGAACAAAAATCATATAATAACAATGTCATAAATAAATTCAGTGAAAAGTTAAAAAGAAATTGTAAGTGTAAGGTTAATGATGCTAAGGGCCATGAAATCAACAGCCCAGCCATGGTAAGTGTGCTGGTAGGAAAACATCAGACAGGAAGTGGTCTGGACTATCTCACCTGCAGGTCTTTCAAAATAAGAATGAGCAGATTGTTAACCTCTAAAGAATCGTTGAACTTCTTAAAGGAAACTATCCCCCAAACACACATTTCTAAATACACTTGTACAGCCAGTAATATACCCTGATGACCTACGACTATGTTTAAGTTTATGTGCACAAAACACTGTAGACAATTTGATGAGACATTTACATTATGGAAACTAAATTAAACTAAATTATGGAAAAGTATCTCCCAGTTTTATTGACATTATAATTTAATGCAAAGTTTTAAGTCATTTTAAATTCCTTCACTCAACCTGACAACTGGGCCCTAATGAGATAAATATCACATTAGTCATTTTATGTGAGAATAGAGCCGACGAGTTGAATCTGTTTTTCAATAGATTTGACACCACAGTGTCTGCTCCCACCCCCACAACCTCACCTGTAGTCAGCCTGGAATCCAGAGCCACACCACTGTGCCAGCCTCTCTCTTCACATGTTGCCTCCTGTGAGAGTCCTGACACCCCTCCCCCACCCATCACCTTCACTCAATACCAGGTTGAGATGCAAATGAGGAGACTTCACTCAGGCAAGTCTGCTGGACCAGACGGAGTGAGTCCCCTTGTCCTCAAGGCCTGTGCCCCCAGCTGTGTGGAGTCTTTCATAAACTGTTTATGCTGAGTCTGAGTCTGCAGAGGGTCCTGGTGATGTGGAAGACATCATGCCTCGTCCCTGTACCAAAGACGCCTCGTCCCAGTGGCCCCCAGGATTACAGGCCCGTGGCACTGACCTCCCACATCATGAAGACCCTGGAAAGGCTCATCCTGGACCAGCTGCGACCCATAGTAAGACCACATCTGGATCCCCTTCAGTTCGCTTATCAGCCTCGTCTCGGAACAGAGGACGCCATCATCTACCTGCTCAATCGTGTCTACACCCATCTGGACCAGCCGGCGAGCACTGTGAGGGTCATGTTTTTTGACTTTTCCAGTGCTTTCAACACCATCAGGCCGACCCTCCTGGGTGATAAGTTAGCAGCGATGCAGGTGGATGCTTCTCTGGTGTCCTGGATTGTTGATTACCTAACAGGAAGACCACAATATGTACGTCTCCCACAGTGTGTGTCTGACAAGGTGATTAGCAACACAGGGGCACCAC